ATATGTAGCGAACAGTTTGAGTATCACTGTAATGTGACACTTAATAAACGCAGCGCAAACAGCTGTGACAAGAAATACTAAACGAAGTAAACAAAAAGAGCAAAAAGAAATGTGCAAAAATAGAAACGATCTCAGTTAACTACAAAGGAATAACGACAACAATGATAACAACAAATGACTCGGCAAGATTAGATGTAAGCTAGTGAAATTTAATTAAATTTAATAAAAACCACAAAAATCACAAAACTTTCACTTAGCTTCGGTTATTATCACACTAAGATGCTCGTAGGCACTTTTTATAACAACTTTTACTCAAAATTAGCACAATAAACTTTGCAAAATACAAAGACCAATCAAGGCACAAATAAGTAGAACTTCACAGCTTGACGTTTGCGTAACTCAAAACCAACAATTTTTATTGAGCTTGAGGCCGTTTTTAATGAAAAACTTATTGTGGAAAAGCAACAACAATTTGAAAAAATTGTAGAAGCGATAGCTATTTCGGAAATCACCACATTTCCTCATCAGACTTCTTTCAGTAGGATTCGAACCGACGATCCCACTGACTCAGCCAGTTGCCTATGCACCGTGCTAAGTACGCCTTGTAAATTATCGTTTGCTTTTTTCCACTATTTTCATTTTTGTTATGCCAACACAATCAAGCGCAGCTATTCCGCTGCAATTCACTTGATCATGTGGTTGTTGGTATTGTTGGTTTTTGCTAATAATTCTATTTTTAGAATGTTTAACTTTTAGGTGTGCTCGTCCTTAAGTTATTTGTTTTTGTTATTTTTTTGGCCTTTATAACAATTATATTCAACAATTTATATTGAGCTCGAGGCCGTTTTAAATGAAAATTTTTTTTGTGGAAAAGCAACAATAATTTGAAAAAATGGTAGAAGTGATAGCTATTTCGGAAATCACCACATTTCCTCATCAGACTTCTTTCAGTAGGATTCGAACCGACGATCCCACTGACTCAGTCAGTTGCCCACGCACTGTGCTAAGTTCGCCTTGTGAATTCTTGTTGCTTTTACCACTATTTCATTTGTTAAGCCAACTACAATCAAGCGCAGCTATTCGCTGCAATCACACTTGATCATGTGGTTGTTTTATTTTTTGATTTTTTGTTAATACTTCTATTATTAGAATGTTTAACTTTTAGGTGTGCTCGTCCTTAAGTTATTTGTTTTTGTTATTTAGAAGCGATAGCTATTTCGGAAATCACCACATTTCCTCATCAGACTTCTTTCAGTAGGATTCGAACCGACGATCCCACTGACTAAGCCAGTTGCCTACGCACTGTGCTAAGTTCGCCTTGTGAATTCTTGTTGTTTTTTTTAAGTTATTTGTTAATTTTTTGAATATAATTGTTATAAGGCCATAAAATAACAAAAACAAATAACTTAAGGACGAGCACACCTAAAAGTTAAACATTCTAATAATTGACATATTAACAATAACCAACAAAACCAACAACCACATGATCAAGTGTGATTGCAGCGGAATAGCTGCGCTTGATTGTAGTTGGCTTAACAAATGAAATAGTGGAAAAAGCAACAAGAATTCACAACGCGAACTTAGCACAGTGCGTAGGCACCTGGCTGAGTCAGTGGTGATCGTCGGTTCGAATCCTACTGAAAGAAGTCTGATGAGGAAATGTGGTGAGTTCCGAAATAGCTATCGCCTCTACCATTTTTTCAAATTGTTGTTGCTTTTCCACAATAAGTTTTTCATTAAAAATGGCCTCAAGCGCAATAAAAATTGTTGAATATAATTGTTATAAGGCCATAAAATAACAAAAAAATATATGTATCTCGGTAACCGTTCTACCAATTTGTACCAAACTCGGTATGGTTATTGTGCTTGCCACATAAAAGCAAAACGTTGAAAATTATTGAAATCGGATTGAAATTGAGGTCGCTTTTCATATAACGGTAAATTTCAGAAATGCTTGAAGCTTCAATATTTCGAAATTTAAGTACGCCAATTTACTCAAAATTGGTACCACCCGGCCTACCATGTAGCGGTAGCTTTCGGAAAGGTGAAAATTATATATTTAAAACTTGCGCCGGGTATTTAATGTTCGGCTCCGCCCGAACTTAGACTTTCTTACTTGTTTAATTTGAGAATCGGAGCTATTCTGCATTTTTGAGAGCAAATAAAAATTTGCCGGACACCAACGGTGAACTCGCCTTAAAGCGAAGGTACACAACATGTGTTCGCCGGCAAATGCGTCACGCCGTCATTGTCAAGTAAAATTGAACACGTGTATTTGTATGACAGCTGTTACAGACGACGCCGTTACGAACGCGTTAACGCAGTTGCCGTCGAAAGTAAACCAAATCAAATTAGAAAACAATATTGGGATCGATAGAGATGACTGAGCTGAGTATAACGGTATACTTATTTTTTTGGGGAAACAACAACAACAAGAATTATCAAAGGTTAAAGTTCAAAATAAGCTATTTTTGAAATCAAGATTTCTTAAAAACCAAAGGATTTATTTTGAAAAATTTGATCTCATTCAATAGGAAATTTGATTCTCTTTAATTTACTTTACGTACTTTATATATATGTTGTATAGTTCTGACGAAAATTGAATTAATGTAAATTAATTATAAAAAAAGCTTACAAGCCCTAAGTGCGGCCGACGCCGCCTACGCAGAAAGGTGTTCTCTGCAAAATGTGTTCAGTGGCTTTTCTTCGCAACACAGAAAGAGAATTTTACTTTGTGTGGGTTATAATCCCTAAGTGCGGCCGCAGGCCGCCTATGCAGAAAGGTGTTCTCTGCAAAAGGTGTTCAGTGCCTTTTCTTCGCAACACAGAAACAGAATTCTACTTTTTGAGGGTTATAATCCCTTAAACTATGTTCACAATACCAACATAAAATACTTAGTTTCGTTTAAAATACCTCACTAAATTAAGTGCGTTCATACACGCGATTCTTTATTTGTCTTGACAGCTTACAGATGGTAAAAAAGATATAAGTTCCTATTCAAAATATGTTTAAAATATTTCAAATTTACTATTGAATAAGGTTTTTGTTGAAAACTACGTAGTTTATATTTAGCTAACATCTACTATAGCACGAAAAATTGTAGTTGAAAGGGTAAGTTTATGAAAAGGCATTGATAAGTGGCAACAGTGTAGTAAGCAACACTGAGTAATCGACAAAATTCTGCGTATACAGACTGCGTTTAAGTATACGTTCTGCGTTCTCGACTAATTTCAGCTTAAGATAAACTACGTACTTTCAACTTAATTTACTGAGAGACTTTACAAGGCGAAATTACTTAGTTTGTACTTAATTTATGCGTAAATTAAGATTGACCTCTAAATTACGCTAATGGGAACATAGTTTAAGTTCGGCCGAAGGCCGCCTACGCAGAAAGGTGTTCTCTGCAAAAGATGTTTTTTTTATAATTATATTACATTAATTCAATTTTTGTAAGAACTTTTCAATATATATGTAAAGTACGTATACCAAATTAAGGGGAATCGAGTTTCCTATTAAATGTGATAAAATTTTTCAAAATAAATTGATTGGTTTTTAAGAAATCTTGATTTCAAAAATAGCTTATTTTGAACTTTAATACTATGTCTTCATTGAGAAATATATCCATTAAGATTTAATAAATCCAGTTGCTAAATCACAACCGTCTCCATTACCACAACGAGATATGTTTGACGTTCACATTTTTAAATATGTGAATTTTTCTTATGTATGATTTTATAAATACAGTTGCGGACATTGATATACAGAGAGATAAAAGGAAGGTGCCAAGCGGAATTTCATTATGTGAATTCTTAATATTATTGGCTTCTTATTCGTGGTAAATATGTATGTATAATATATAGTTTGGAAAATGTAAAGAATGGTACCATATTCCTAATCATTTTCCCGAATTTAAGAAAAATTATCGAAACGGTAAAAAACATTTGCGGAAAGAAAAATTGTTGTAGAACTCTCTTAATCATAGGAGGGAACCGAAAATCCAATCGTGGGCCTTTGGCATATCATGAAGACGAATTGAGTTCTAGAGGATGTTCGGTGCAATGTTATCGAAGCAGAACCATTACCGAAATTTATAAATTTTTTGTCGGAGCGCGCAAATGACTTATAGAAAGCGGGGAAGACACTGCATAATATTACTATAAAATATTTCTTCAGAATTTTTAGTTTTTAAAAAAATATTTTCTTAATTTATTACAACCAAAGTTATGTACATATGTATTACTAAATTTCCTCCCAAACTAACAAAAATATAAAAATTCCTAAAAATACGAAAATTCATGTTTTTATGATAGGCTAGATTTCAATGTCCTCAACTGTATATTGAAAACACAAATGTCATTTGACTTATGGCATGTGAATTTGTGGTTGCCACATCCAACAAATTGTACTTATTGATCAATATTATTGAAGATTTGACGAAGATTTAACTTAAATCTACCGCCTTTCGAGCTTTAATTTTATATGGTAAATCTCAAAAGATTTAACGCCAAATCTCGTCAGAGGGCTAAATCTTCATTAAATCTCAAAATGGGGACATAGTATAACCTTTGATAATTGTTGTTGTTGTTTCCCTAAAAAAAGAAGTAAACCGTTGTACTCAGCTCAATCAGCTCTATCGATCCCAATATTTTGTTTTATAATTTGAGATTTGGCGCCAAACAGCATTTGTTTCCTTTTCTGTTGCGTTCATGCGTTGACATTTGAAATTATATTTGTGGATATGCTTATCAGCTGTTTTTTATTTACAAAACAATCAGCGGCACAACGCAAGGTGTGTAACAGCAAGTTTTTCAACGTCCAACGGATCAACGCAACACCGCAGCAAATAAATTATGTACCTTCAGCTTTGACAATAAGGGCGGCGTTGAAACTTTTTGCTTCAGCATTGAAGTTCTTTCGGAAAGTTTTTATAACATATCGATTTTCGATTATTTTTTGCTATTTGAGGTGACCAATTTGAAATGGCATTTTAATCAGTCTTCTAATCGAATCTGACGGGTGTGCTTCGAAGTTTTGTGTGGCTGAAGGTTTTCTCAATTTCATAAGTGTGCTTGGGTGCTTTGCATGGTTAATTTGGAATTAAAATTTCTGGATGTGTTTGTGCTAAACATTTGTACATCTTTTGCTTCCGTATTATTTCTTTTTTTCGGCGCTCGAGACTGGTGTCTTTCAGTTCCGAATGGAAGAAATAATGTTTTGAAGCAATTAAAACGCCTAGCCTTATTAGAAATTCAAATTAATATATATTTGCGATTTTTGTGACTAACTTCTAAGTTTGGAAAAATCCTGTTTCCATTATACAAATCCGTTTACGCTGAGGGCGTATCATAATTCGACACGGTATAGTACATATCATATCTTAAATATTAGGCCTTAGTTTATCAAAAATACATACAATAAAAAAAAGTGCAGTCATCCGGGCAAATTTATTACTACGAAAGAAACGGCACAAAACAACAGCCTTCCAGCGATAGTTAGCGTCGACTCGCGTCGCCATTAAGATTACCAACACAAACGTCTACAGCAGAAAAACAAGAATCAACGAAGCAACAGGCGGAAAGCTGATAAACCTCGATATGAATTAATTCAATTGGAAAATAACGACTACAACAAAATAAGAAACGAGTATCGAGAGAACGAGGAACTTCTGAAAACAAGAATCGAAATAAATATATGTACATAGAAACACATACAAAGAAACCGCGTTCTCAAACACAACCGAATGTTGTACATCGCTTGTATTTTTTGTGCTGTCATTGCGACTTTTTTTCTGGCTTATTTCCCTGTGTTCTGTTAAACGATCAATTGAATTCCAAATTAGAAATAATTAGATCTTCCAATCGAAAAAGTTCCACAACACACTTACAAAGTTACACAGAACTTTATTTTATACTTGTGCCTGGAGAAACTTGGGGTATATAATTTGTACCCTATTGAGAACAAAAGCGTCCGCATATTCCATAAGACAACCTGAATATTTTCTGTAAATTCAACCATCCTGTACTTCGATAATGTCCGCGGCTATTTTACAGCAGAAAAACGGAAACAATTCAATTTATTTTGAGTGCGGCGATATTTTCAAACCGGTAAGAATTATAATACCAAATATCAAAGTTGCTTTATTAACAGTTTTGGGGTATGTTAAGTTATTTACCCACTGTTTTTGGGTTAGTGAGCGGATGGGGAAGATGCGTGGCGGGAAATTTTCCTTAAAATCGGTTCAAATCTGAAAAAACACAAAATCAGGGCGGGTAGACGAGCTGTTTCTGATTATAAAAATGAAGACACCACCTGCCGGAGGTTTATACCTAGTAATTAAATAATTTGTTGTTGAAGTCACGGTTGCCGTTTTGGTCCAAATGGACCAAATTTGGTTCATTTCTTTTCGTTTGGTCCATTGGTCCAATTCTTTTTAAAATGGTCCATTTCAGAAGCCTTTGGTTAGGTTATTATCACCCTTTCACTTCATGCAATAGTTTCGCGTTTTAATTTTTTTTTTATTTAATTGAATATGTAGAATATCGTCATCGTCAGTAAAAATGACGATACGGCCATCGTCAGCCATGTTACTGATGCGCTGACGATCGCCGACGATGATGATGGCGATATTCAGCATAGGGCCGATTGGCAACACCCGCTAAAAGTGAGAACTCGCCTTGCCACTGAAATATGGCTTAGCCATGCCATCTGTCAAAGCACGCTTCAAAAAATATCGCGGTTTCTTGCTAATTTCAATTACTTGGTGCCCAATATTAAAGTGGCTGCCAAAAATATGGAAAGGTAGCAAAACTTTAATCATAGCATTTAGTACATGAAAATAATATTTGATTTCAGCCGAAAAGATATTAATTATCTTGAAATTATTACACCACATAGAGTTCTTTCTGATACTGATATATCAATTTTGTCGCTACTCGACCAATTTCCTGCATTGGTAAATGATGCAGAAATAATTTAATTTCAATTTCGCAAATTGAGGCTGAGTGACGATAACTTCAAAAACTGTACCAATATAGAACGTTTTTGGGATCAAGTGAGTTTGATTAAAAATGGCGGAACACCTAAAGAATACTGACCTTTGACCATTATATTGATATACCATTTTTCTTAAAAAACGAAAGCTACAAATTTTTTCTTTCCACAACAAATTTTAAAGTT